CTACATTTGTGTCTGTTTTCTTTGGCATTCTCCAGCATTTCCCTTGGAAGGAATGGCCAATAATACAGTTCCTACTCAGATATCTCCCTCTGACAGAGTGCTTCTATAAAGATTATCATTCTTATGCTTGGGAGCCTCATGCTGTTCCACTGCCTCTTTCAGGCTGTTCTCCCCTGGGGAAAGGGTCACAAAACCCAAAAAGTACACAGAGATTTGCAATAAGATCTGCTCTCTAATTCTTTTTCCCCCTAATCTGAAAAATGTGGCAAGTAAACTGCAGATTTTGTAGAAATTGTCCAAGAAAATTTCGAAAAGGTTTGTGCTCCCCATGACCCAAAATCTGCCAGCTTTGAAAGAAATATTTAGATGAAGCTCCTCCAAAAGTTTACAGAAGAGAGTAGCTATTTCTTGTAAAAATAAATCCATGAAAATCCCAAAGAATTTCTCTTGAAAACTAATTTTAGTGGAAATTTTTCAGGTAGTTTCAGTCAGTTGTGGAGCTCAGCATACCTTCTGGTACTAGAGTCTGATTTCACAGGCCTGGGGACCTGGGAGCTCCCTACAGCAAAACCAGAGGGAAAGTTGAAAAAGAAATTTTTTAAGTTCCATTATTTTTTTGCAGTGATATTGATCCTTTTCCCCATAAAAATTCCTACAAAAATTAAAAACAAAAATAGAAGCGGGAGTTAAATATCTGTGTGTATGTGCACACTTTTGAGTAAGAATTAAGCATTTGACTTAGAAAACAGATGGGTGCCTCACTCAGCCCCTGAGGGGATCTGTATTGCTGTGCAACGTTTACATAAGAGAAAAAGGAAAGGGGATTTGCCTGGGGTCAGACTGAAGCCAGCAGGGTCCTTGCAGGGAGAAAGGCTGCCTCATGGGGAAATATAAAACATCCAGAAATGGGACACAGGAAAGCAGCTCCAACACCAGTTCATCCAGCACTGTTGTATGATTGAGATGGAATTGTTTAGGTCCTAATTTCCCTGCTCTTAGTAAGTGGGCAATAGTGATAGAGCCTCCTCTTGGGACAAAAGTGCTTTTCCAGCAGACGTGCTGGCTCTGCAGCCACGCTTTCAGGATGGGCTTGGTGTCTGACTGCCAGATCCAGCTCTTTGATACATTACAGAGAAGAAAAGGCAATGATCTCCACTTTCCTAAGGGGAATCCTTTCAAAGTGACTAGAAAGTCACCAGCTCTAGCCTGGTGGCATAAATCACTTTGGTGAGCCTTCAGGTATGTCCTGTGACTCCACTTTGTCACTGGCTCTGTTTGCCAGAAGGGAATCATTGAATCTCCTCAGTGATACCACATAACCTCCCACAGCTGCCTGGGCAATCCTCCTCCAGGGGAACCCAAGCTGCTTGTGAATCAGCTCCTGAGCTGCAGGAGTTTATAGGACTGAACTTTAAAGAAATCAAAAGCAGAAATGGATTTGGAAAGCTTTGTGTGCGTTCTGGCAGCTCAAAAAAAGTGTCACAGCCACGCATTCGCACCCCACAAACAGTGGTTCACAGGTGACAGTTATGGCACTGGCATCCCAAGCAAATCCCTTCTCCAGCATTAACCCAAATGCCAGCTCTCTGAAGACTCCTGGTTTGTCTGAGCCTCTCCTTATTTGAGACATCAGGCTTCCATTCTTAGCTGCTGGACTAGATGGAACACTGAGGGTCAAATCCATAAAATACCTGGATCTCTGTAACTTTTCCTTGCATCATAAGGAGTCGTGTGCCATGTGCTGGAGTGTGTCAAGAGAAGGGCCATGAAACTGGTGAAGGGACTAGAGCACAAATCTGATGAGGAGTGGCTGAGGGAGCTGGGGCTGCTCAGCCTGGAGAAGAGGAGGCTCAGGAGCCTCAGAGGAGGCTGTAGCCAGGTGGCTGTTTGGGGGCTGCCCATCACTAATCTTCAGCCACCCAGATTCAAGTTTCGTGTCCAACTTCCATCATCCTTTTGCAGATCTGCCTGGACTGACAGAACTTGGAATCTGGAGTCACACCTTTTCTGTTGTGAAAGTTTTCCAATTCCAGTTATTCCACACAGGGGAGAAGCACCTGCCTGTGTTTTCATGTCCCAGATGGGAACATGCCATCACACTCACCCATGTGAGAAAAGTCCATGTCAAAGCTGTCTATTTTCACTGCCTGATCATCTGGGACACAGAGCTCAGGACGTTGCAACTCTGCCCCATTTCCCACTCCAGGTAAAGGAACATAAAGGCAGCTCAAAAGAAGGATGTGTTTTTATTCAACAAGAGCTCCTGACTTGCTTTATTTTTCCCCATGTAAGCAGCTACAAACAGATGTCTCAGCCTCCTGTACCAGTCACTCATTTAACAGCAGCTCTGCCTGTTTGTACAGCGCCCTTGTTCTCAAACCCTTCACTCATCGTTACACAGAGATAAACTATCAATGCTCAGCCTTGTGATGCTGCAAGGAGGGGGGCTGATTCTTCAGGAATAAGGAAAACAGCACATGAGAGGGATCAAATCACCAACCCTGCACAATTTGGTGTTAGTTCCTCTCTGTTCCAACAGGATCACATGTTTTTAAGCCATCTAAGGGGGAGCAGTCCCTCAAGACAGGTTTTTAAAATGCATTCATAGAATATGACCTTTTGCTGGCCTCCTTTCCTCGAGATGCCTCTATTCTGCCCCTGATACCACACTGTAATATTTAAGTCTCAAACACCTACACAAAGCCTTGGAGTTTTTACCAGTTCTTTAGACTTCTACTTTTACTTCCTTCCAGTATCTTTCACCTCCTTCCTTCCAGAGCAAGAAAGGCTTTGCAAAGGAGCCACATAATCACAGGAATGTCACTGTCAGAAACTGTAAGAACTAAATGCTTTGAGCTATCATTTAAAAAAAAAAAACCCAACCAAACCAAAATCCCTTTCCTACCCCAAGTTAGCCTCTTGTTAGGATCACAGTTCACCAGTAGTTCAAAACAGACACATTTCCTGCTCGTGTCTTTGTCACATCAGTGTGACCACTAGACTGGGGCCACAACCCCCTCCCAAAATTCAGCCCCAATTTCAGCATCAGACACACCCTACACACACTGCTCTCCCAGGATCACTGGCTTTGTTCCTGCCTTCCCGAATCAAAGAAAGCCACTCTAGAGCATGGAGGAAAGATTACATTTTCTGCTTTATCTGGTACAAAAGGAGCAAACAGAACTCACCATTGAATGTAGGCACTTCCAATGTGCACCCAAAGAAATCTCTCCCCCTTTCCTGAGCAAGAGAGGCACAAGCTGGCCCTTACCCCTGGTTTTAAAGAGTAATCCATCAGGCAATGATACAATAACTGCCTATCAACAAAACTTCTTTTAAGATATATACAATTTTCATCCCTTAATTGCGAGAGCCAATCCATCACATTACCCATCTATAACAAGGGCAACCAGCTGATTTGGCTTTTGTAAACAGCTGTTTCCTTCCACTGCCAAAAAAACCCTGCCTGAATGATTAATGAAGGAATTAAGATTAGGTGTGATGGATCCCATCCCTCTTGTTGCATTTCAGAGCTGATGTTTTGAAGAAACACTGTCCTTGGTTTCAGAAACAAACCCATGGACTACTTAATCTGCTTTAGCATCTTGTGTAAGACATAAGCCAGCAAAAATTGTTCAGAGGAAGTTTAAAGCCCAGCCACTGACAATCATAGAATCATAGAATAGTTTATGTTGGAAAAGACCTTTAAGATCATCAAGTCCAGTCACTAATCTAATACTGCCAAGGCCACCACTAATCCATGTCTCTAAGCACCACATCTGCATGTCGTTTGAATTCTTCTGGGGATGGTGACTCAACCATTTCCCTGGGCAGCCTGTTTCAGTGTCTGACAAGCCTTTTGTTGAAGAGAGATTTTTCCTAATATCCAGTCTAAACTTCCCCTGATGAAGCTTGAAGCCATTTTATCTTGTTAGTATTGCTTGTCACTTGGGAGAAGAGACTGTCCCCCACCTGGCCACAGCCTCCTTTCAGGTAGTGTAGAGAGCCATAAGGTCCCTCCTGAGCCTCCTCTTCTCCAGGCTGAACACCCCCAGCTCCCTCAGCTGTTCCTCATGTCGCTTACTCTGCAGACCCTTCACCAGCTCCACTGCCCATCTCTGGGCTTGCTCCAGCATCTCAATGTCCTTCTTGGATTGTGAAGGGACGAAAACTGAACCCAGGATGTGAGGTGCAGCCTCACCAGTGCCCAGTACAGGGGGTGACCCCTTCCCTGGTCCTGCTGGCCACACTGTTTCTGATACAGGCCACGATGTCATTGGCCTTCTGGGCCACCCAGGCACACTGATGGCTCATGTTCAGCCGGCATCTCCAGGTCCTTTTCCACCAGGCAGCCTTCCAGCCTCTCTTCGCCAGGTGTGTAGTGATTCATGGAGTTGTTGTGACCCTTCACGGAGGTGCAGGACCCAGCTCTTCATCTTGCTCAACCTGACACAACTGGCCTCAGTCCCTTGATCCAGCCCCTGCAGATCCCTCTGCAGAGCCTTTCTGCCCCGCCCCAGGTCAACACTCCCACCCAGCTTGGTGTTGCCTGCAAACTGAGGGTGCACTCCATCCTCTCATCCAGATCATTGGTAATGATATTAAACACAATACCCAACCCAAAGAGAAGATCTGTCTCTAATCCCCTGTAAGTTTGAGTCTTGTCTTGTCTATGTCCTGAAGGAAGAGAATTTAATATTGCTTGCAAAATCCCTGGCTTTTGGATAATCTACATTATTGTAACTCTGGATGAGCTTGTTTTTCATAAAAATATCATGGTTTTTTTTAACCTTGCTGAGCTCTTGATCACAGCAAGTATCTTGTGCCTATTAATACCGCGAGGCAACTGTGAGGGGAGACTGGCTGCTCTCAACACTTTTAAAGCATGCAACTTTGACTCTTTCCCAGGTTTTCTAGACAAACCCCAGGGAGAAGACAGCACCCCACTGGACACAGATGTGTCCGTTGGTTTAGCAATGTGATTCCTCCTGTCTCCCCAGGGCATGAACCCTCACCTCCGGATCAACGGGCCGATGAACATCAACCACTACGCGACCAAGAAGAGCGTGGCAGAGAGCATGCTGGACGTGGCGCTGTTCATGGCCAACGTCACCCAGCTCAAAGCTGTGCTGGAGCAGGGGACGTCCTTCCAGTACTACGCCACCCTCATCGTGCTCATCAGCATCTCCCTCTTCTTCCAGGTGATGATTGGGATTCTCCTTATCATCACTGGTAAGGTGGCCACCAAGGCGTGTGCACCCTCACGGGGCAGGGTGCCCTGTAGATGGGCTGGCGAGGGGGTGGAAGGGAGAAGCTTCTTCCCCCAAACCATTCCCCTCTGGCTCCATCCAGGGCTGGATGTGGGTGGTAGGGCTGTCAGTGTAACACAGAATGGTGGGTGGGTTGTTTCTCGTTCGCACATCTCGGAGCACAACTCTTCCTTCACTTTCCCACTGCTGACCCCCTGCTCCAGTGAAAGAGTGGGGATTTGGCCAAGATGGGCCTCTTGCTGCCCCTGCTGTTGTGTGCTCCTTCATGCAGCTCTTGCAGACACTACATTTTAGCTGTATTTTACATCTTACTTCATCTGGGACTTAACAATTTTGGCAGAGCTATTCCCTATGCTTATCTCACATTTAATCAATCCCACAGTTTTCCTAGTAGCCTACAGACAGTACATTAACACCAGCATTGGTTTGCTGGTGTTTGCTCAGTGTTTCATCTGATATAGGAGTTGCTGTATTCCAGTCTCCAACAGATTCCCAGTATTAAAACTCTGCAAAATTCTGCATTTTCCTGAATATCCTACATGGGTTTTTATGGGGGACAGAGGAATGGGGGCTTTGGAAAATCTGTGACATGTTCCTTCCCCTGTCATACACACCACAGCTTTTCCTGGTGGCAGCTGTGATGGCTGGAGCCAGCTGGGAGGAGAAAGGGGACAAGGGACCACAGCATGGCTGCTGTTTGCATGGCTTATTGGCCAGACAGCCCTGGTAACCAGGGTATTGCTGTATCTGAAGGCATCAATGTCCATCAGCCAGGACTGATCCCATTCATGTACCCAGGGATGATAGCTGTGCCACCACATAGGTGAGGTCTGGGTGTCAGGGAGGAATTGCCTCCCAGTGCAAGCAGAGCATTGTTGCCCTTGTCCCCCGAGTCCCATAGCCTGCCCTCACCATATCCCATGGCCAGGCAGTGCTGGTGGGACCACAGCATGCATCTGGCTAGTGTGCAGCAGCAACATCCCTATTTAGGGTTGACCCATTGCAGGACCACGGCACTTCCACGGCAAAACAAAGAATTTTGCCAAAAAATCAAAACAAGATGATTTTTTTTCTCTGCTCCAGCCTTCTATGTCATCCTGGAGCAAGCTGTGGCTCCTGTAGCATTCCTGTGACTACTCCCTCTGCTTTGTGGCCTCAGCACTCAGCGGCACCACAAACATTTATGAGGCAGGGGAGGCTTGCAGGAGCAGGGGGACTTGGAGTCACTCTGCAAACCCCTTTCTCTTTTTGCATCGTATTGCACAGCTCGTCTGAACCTGAATGATATTGCAAAGCAACCCCGCCTGAATATACTCAACAACGCTGCCACAGCTCTCATCTTCATCACAGTCATCCTCAACATCTTCATCACAGCCTTCGGGGTGCAGAAGACAGGCCTCTACCCTGGCAGGAATTTTGGACCTTATTAACTCATGGGGCAATGGACTCAGGTAAGAAAGGGTGAGCTCCCATCACTGCCAGCCCCTGGGAGAGCTTTCAGTCAGAAAACATCACTGCAAGGTGATGATGGCAAATTAACAAAGCCTTTCCAGAGGCACATTGCTGTCCCACAAAAACCTGCAGCCATTGAACAAATTCTCTCAGAGGAGCAGCAGCTCTCCTCACTTGGTCTCTAAAGCAAGAACATCAAACATCCCAGCTGCTGGGATTTATCAGCAGCAAGTGGTTTTTGGGAGGCTGCAGAGCTCATGCTAGACACAAATAGCAGCTGTGGATGGGAGCTAACGCTGGGGAAGAAAACTAGGTGTGTTCTGGGAGGAATCCCAAGACAGCAGCACCATCTGAGCAGAAGAAAAGGAACATGCTGGGCAAGGCAGGGGGGGAAGAGCTCTTTACAACAGCCAGTGTAGTTTGGCAGGGACTGTTTTAAGCACCTAATGCTCATTTTCAAGGAAGCCCTGTAAATAAGAGATCATCCAAATGGCTGGGTTTCCATGTCATGTCAGTGAGGGAATGACATGTTCTTAAACCAAAAGCACTTTAGCTCAAGAAGCAAAATTAACATTTCTTGTTTACATGACCTGCAAAATGTAAACACAGTTTAAATGCCACATACCAGGGCAACAACCAACAAGAAAGCTCAACAGACACATGCTATGGTAAGGACTGATCCAAAGGCCAAAATCCTCTACAGAAACATTGCTGGGATTGGGATTGCTGGTTTGGGATGCAGAGAGGGGCAAGTGATGAAGAGCAGCACCCCACATGTGTAGAGGCAGTTGTGGGGTCGAGCAGTGGCTGTGACTGCTCCTGCACACAGAGGAGCCTGAGGTGACCTTACCAGTGTTTCCTGTCTTCCCTGCAGGATGTGAGCAGTGCAGCTCTCCTCCATGTTTCCACTGACCTCAGCAGGAGCCCATGGACGAATTCAGAAAACTGGGTTAAACTTCAAAACTCTGTATCATAGTATACTGGCCCCTTGCTGTAATGCTTTTGCAGTTCAGAGAGGTAGGAATATTGTCTTTCCAACCTAGAACAAACTTTGCAAGAGAAAAGTGCAGGAACAGCAGCAGGTATACATTTTGAAAGTGCAGTTCTGTAAATCTTTTCTTATTTTAGCTGCCTGCTTCACGTATATTAGCTCATTTGGTAGAGAAGACTGAATGAATTAGTTTGTAGGCTAAATAAATAAGTCCAGCTTTTTTTTTGTCTCAAACATAAGTTGATGTCCTTAAAGCAATTCTATGTAATAGTTTACCTCCCACATGTTGGAATGGATTTCTCAAACTAAGTTTTCCTAGGAGGATAGAATGGTGTGTGTACATGAAGATAGCCAGAACCAGTTCAAATGTTTTCCTAGTTGTTTAAAATTAAATGTAACATAGTTAAGAAAACAATCAGATATTTCCAGCCCTGGAATATTAACAAGGACAGAAAATAGTTATTGTGGTCTGATGTCATCATCAGTGACCAATCAGGAATGATGTCAGCATAGCCTGACAATACTTAATAGAAAATGAAGAAACATTATACATAAGGACACAGCCTAGCCTAGCCTATTGCACAACCGCTGCAATGAAGAATTACAGTTGAATAGCTTATTATTTTAAAAATCACTATTATGATTTATTCTTATCACTAATATAAATGTTTCTAAATGTAATTGGTTTATAATGACAACTCTGGTAATTCTCTTGTATTAGAACCATTTGTTTCTGTAAGAAAAAAATCCTTTGAATTAATGAGTTTCAAGATTTTTATGAAAGAGTAAAAATTTTCAATCCTAAATTTTTTAACTCTATAGTCATGGTGAAAAATGGTATTTTAATAGCCTTATGTAAGCCTATTTGAATAATTACATGTTCTTTTGATTATTAAATGATTTTTCCATTGTACTGCAGAATCAGAGTTTAATATGGACTTCTCATTTTGTATATCCTTGCCACCCCTGAGACAGAAATGCCATGACAGCATCCTCACATCAGTCTTCAGGAGCTACTGGCAGTGTCTGACTCTTAGATACAGATTTCATTTGTATTTGTCTTTCCATCCATATTTGTCTTTACAAAACCAAATTTGTGTCAGTCACACGTGGTGCTTTTTTTGAGAGGGTGTGAATGATCTTGCCCACCAACTGGTGGCTAAGGCCACCAGCCAGCAGCAGCTCAGCACCTGCAACCGACAGTGACTTTTTTGAGCTGAAGGAAAGTTGCATAATAAGGGTAGGGTGGAAAATACTAGTTATGTGTTTTCCAGAACCTGAAGTGGTAAAGCTGAGCACAGTCTGAGATCTGTTAGGTAAAGCAGGCAGAGACTTGTCCTCCACTTTTTCTCAGGGATGACAGGTCTGGGTGACTCTGAGTTTGCTGCTCAACTTGGTCCTCAGTCTTTGCTCTGACTGGCAGCAGGGAGGGGTGGATGTTTCTGGGAAGCCTGTTATCCTGCCTCCTTTAGAAAAATGTTTCATTCTAGAGGTAGAGGAGGAATGAGTTGTAGGCACAGCAAAACCACAAGCCAAGGGCTGTCAGCCACTACTGGCTGGCTGGGTTTGTGGAAAGGTAAAAAATTACACATCCTGCATGCAGACCCCAAACCCCAGCACTCATTGCTTCATGGAGCAGGAGGCAAAGCAATTAGCACTGATGACTGAGTGTAAAGAGAGGGGAAAATATAAAAGGTTCAGATGGGAAAGAAACAGTGAGGGCAATTTCATTACCAGATTTTAACTTTATCATTGTTTCAGAGAGCTACTGGATTGGGTATGGCAGCACATGAGGCCTGCATGAGCAGAGGGGGCTCCCTGCCACTCATCCCAGGCAAGCAAAGGCTGGCAGCACACTGGAATACTTTCCCTCTATCTCCTTTAATATTAATAATTTCTTGCTATAGTGAAATCATACTCATCAGCAAACTTGGCTGCCTTTTACCTTCTTTGTGTGTGACTCCCATTGCTTCCAAGCTTTTGATACTCTAAGAAGGCACAGTTGAAATGAAGATGGGCCAAAATTGAATTCAAATAAGCAGCTGCTGTGAAAGAGCTGACCTCCCATTTGCAAAGGTCTAGGCTCCCACCTGTGGTCTTCTCCAGGAACTGTCCTCTGCTTGCCAGGAAAGCCATTGTGTTTTCCACATTCTCTCATCACATCAGACTCATGCTTTGCTGGAATGTGTATTTGTCCACTGCTTCCACCTTGTTTCACATGATAAATCCAGGTAGACAGGAAGAAAACTGTTTTGTTGCCATCCCATTTTCCACAGATCTGGAGGGGACTGAAGCAGGGCTAACCTTGCCTGCTGCATCTCCCACTCACCCCTTGCTGCAGAGCTCTTGCTGACCTGGGCTGAGAGTGATCTCCCTGGTACTGCCTGTGCTTTCAGCTAATGAAGACAAGAGGAGCACACCTGGATTCTAATTCCTGCTGCACAGTGATGCAGGTGCAAGTGAACACACAGACAGAAGAGAGCTCTTGTAGGAAGACAATGTATTTATAAAACACAAGGGAGAATCTGTATGTCCCCCAGCTCCAACAGAAAGGTGGCCCAGGAGTCGTCTTGAAGGCACAGAGCCACTTTAAGGCAGATACAAGTCAGATTTTCAACACAAGGCATCTGTATCTAAAAAACAATCAGCTTCAGACATTTGTAGGCAATGAGGAAAGATGTTCATGCCGGGCAAACATTAAGACAATGATGAAACAAGTAATAATTTTCACACGATACACTTCGCTCAGATTAAAAGCCAGCCCTTCTTCATTCCCTTGATGACCTGCAAAGCAAGCCTGAGCACCAGTCCTGAATACACAGTCACATTTATAGGCAGAGCCCCCTTACTCTGTACCTCACATTTGGTGGCCCAGACTCCCCAGGCTGGTCACATCCTACCCTGGAGAAGGTCTCTTTTGCAGCATTGTCCATCATACCCCAGCCACAGAGCTTCCGGAGCAGCTTGCTCCTGGCCTGAAGCAAGGAAAATCCTCTGCAACTGACTTCCTCCAGCTGGCCAAGCAGGACACAGCCAGGATGCACATGAAGGCCAGAAACTCCAGCACAGCTTCCCAAAAAGATCCTGGTGACAGAAATGTGACCAACTGTTGAGGGGAGTCAGCTTCCTGGCCATGTCCTTTCACTGCATAGCTGCGGGATCTGCTCCTGCTGTGCTTCCTGCTCTCTCCCTCTCTGTGACTCTGTCTGGGAAGAAAAACTGCAGCTTGCTTTGGAAGAGGGGCAGCAGCCTCAGAGTGAAGCCCAGCACTGCTCCTGCAAGGTTTGCTGCTGGCCAGCAAACTGGGGAGTGTGGAGCCCCTTCTCTCCCTACACCCTGTAGTGAGGTCTCTGAGCATGTGGACTGGAAGACAGTTTTTATTCCCATGGGCTCTTCAAGCTCCTCCATGGAGGCTGCCAGCTAGTGCCAATTAGTATTAATCACATTTACTACTTGCTTGGATAGCAACTGAGTATTCCCACCGGAAGGGAAGAACATTTGAGATGGAAGCTTTGACAGTGGGCAAACTGGCCATTGGGAAACTGGACTGAAAACCAGGAACTCCTTACATCTCCATCAAGGAGTCCTCATGAGGTAGTTCTGCTTACCACTGGCCTGGGTTACAAGGTGTGAAGTAGAGTCACAGCTGAAAAATGGGGGCAAAATCCTCACATTCTCCTGGCAGTGCTGCACTGAGGGGTGCACCCTACTGTCCAGTCCACTCTTCCTGACTGTCCTCTGTGGTGGGGAAGACTCATGGCATTTATGCCAAGTGAGTTACCTCTAATTCTTACCAGTGTCCACAGATGGATGCCAGCTGCTAACTTTAGGTGCTGCAGACCACATCCACAGCCAGATGTGAAAGCACAAGGTACAAATAACTCCTCCTTCCCGTGCCTGATTTCCAGGCTGCCACCAAATGCAGTAGTTCTCCATGTGCAGACCAGGCACCGTGGTGTTCCCAGCGTGATGGGCCCAGACAGCTGCTGCTGCTGACGCCCGGCCGTGTCCGGGCACTCGCCCTCCCGACAGCCTCTCCCCATTCCACAGGCATTGCGCGACACAGCCAGCCTGGACAGGCTGTGCAGGCACAGTCCTGGAGCCTGGAAAGCAGCTCACCTACACACTCGTGGAGCTGTGCCTGTGTCTGAGGGAAGCACAGGCTCTGGCTTGCACTGAGAGCATGACTGACACTGCACATTCCAGGGAGAAGCAGAGCTTATTGCAACATTGCATCGCAGGACTCTGGTCTCCCAAACTCCTATAACACTTCAAACAAAAAGTGTTGACTGTTGTCAGCCTCTTCCCTCTCACCGCAACTGCCATGATTTAATTTCTTAGCATCTGCATGGGTAAAGTATCTTCCCTCAATAGGAAGACTACTCTGGCTAAGGCTGCCTCTTCTGGGATATTCAGTGTCTCCATTCTGGCAAAGGCTCCATGGATTCAGAGACACAGCCATCTCTTGTGTACTTCTCACCACAGCTGCACACTGCACAGCAGAACTTTTTGGTATCTGGCTGACTTTTTCTAAATCCATCACTCACAAAACCCAGACTGATGCAAACAGATGATTTGACATGATTTCTATCTCACGTGCCAGAACTTGTATGTTCAGTTTTCTACTGCAATAGCGGAACTTGATGGACTCATCAAGCACCACACAGTAATAAATGAATGCCTATTCTGAATTGGCATCTACTCCATCAGCAAAGAGCAAAAAAGTCTAGTACCAGTCAGCTTTGCTTGTATTCTCCATACATCCATTACTCCTTCCCAGCAACTCCCCACAGAACTGACCACCATGAGCAGCATCCTATGTCACACCCTCCCCTCAAGCTTGAGCCCTTCTTAGCATGGTATGGGGACACTGAAGCTGCAGTGTGAAGCACTGAGTGAGCTGGGATTTCTGGGTTTACATAGTCTTCTAAAATGGTTACAGGGTAAAAAAAATCTTGCCTTACATTAACAAGAGTTTTAGGGGATGAGACTTCCCTGTAGCACCAGGCCAGCTGTTCTTCCATCAATGACAGCATGGGTTTGTCCATCCTTTTGCTCACTCAATGCTCTTCTGTCCTCACTGTTCGTTACACCCAGTGCCTGTGCCAAGACCTGAGGCCACCTCCTCGTACCAAGCCAGAGCTGCCAGGGCTGTTCCAGAGATGAAGCACCAATGGCTGTGCTGGTTCTCCAACCAAGGAGCCTGCTGTATACTTAAGAGTCAAACTATGACAAGACACAACTGTGAGGCCATAACTTATTAAATTAACTTTTAGATGCTGCATAAATGTACAGAATTTTGAGAGCAGAAGACTCTGACTCCTCTTCCGACAAATCACAATACTTCAACTAATAAAATATTGCCACTTCTTCCCTGCTAGGGTTTCCCTGATATTGTTAGGACAAACACATGTCTGTCAGATAAGGCTGCAAAGTTCCTCCTGAGATGCTCTGTTAGCTTCTCTGTATAGCCCCTCCACTACCCTCAGGCAGTGTGTCAATAATTTAGGTGGAATTGTAACATCACCCTTGCCAGCTCACCCAGCTACAGGCAAACATGGCTCCTGTAAGGGAAATGTATTTGCAACTCCATCCACAGCCCGTAATTTGCTGAACATGAGCACAATTTTTCATAATGACCAAAGTGAAAAGCACAGAGAAACATCTAAGCACCTAAAGCAGCCTAAAGTGCTTATCAGCTCCTCTGCATCCAGATTTCCTTAAGTCAGCACATGGGCATGTGGGTGCAATACAGATCAGAGAACTTTGGTCTCCTGTCCAAAATAATGGGTACTGGATAGATGGCAAAGGAGAGGAAATGGGGACGGTTGTGAGTTCTTTGCCTTTTTGTTTTTCACTCAAGTTTTGAAAGAGAAGCTGCGCTGCTCTACATAAACCATTCTAGGCTTAGCTGGGATTTGTGTCTGTTAGGTGCAAGACACAACAGGAAACAGGGCACCTCTCCCACTGTACCTTCCACCAGACTGCATGGCAGGAAATACAAGTGCTTCCCTTGACACCTCCGCCTCACGCCTTCCCAGCCACACGCAGATCCCGTGTCTCGCATGCAGCGGCTGACAAGAGAAGCTCCCGCTCCACTAGCCTGATCACCCCTTCCTCAACTGTGCCATGCCATCAGAGGTCTCTGGAGGCAGAGGAAGAGTTTGGGCACTCAGCTGCATGCCCCAGTAAAGTGCACATCTGGATGAGATGGTGGACAGCGCTGCCAAACAGCTCTGGGGTTGAAGGCTACACTGTCTTCAGCTGGCGCCGGTTCCACATGCCCCGCTTTGAGTGAAACCAGTGGAAGAAGTTCCTCAGGGAGAGACGCTCCACTTCCAGCCCAGCCTGTAAGATCCTGGCAGACAGAAGAGTAGACTTAGGGAAAATTTCATCACAAAGACACTGAGGGACTCAGCCCCAGAAAAATTCTTTTTAAGTTGTGCTGTTGATAAGGGACTGCAAGCAAATTGGATAGTCCAGAATAGCTCAGGGGTACCCCGTATCCATAAGCAGGAGTCTAATGACACTTTCTGAGTATTTATGCACCCTTGAGCACAGGACTAGTCAGGAGTGCCTGCATATGCCAAGATAGGACAAAAGATGGCTGGCAGCACTGGATTGCAGTCAGCTGACAGAAAAGACAGGACAGGGCCCAAACCCTAGAACTACAAAGCCAGAGGCCCAGGATTTGTGCATCCCTCCTCACAAAAACCTCAGAAATTTTAACTGTACCTCATAATCTTTAAATGCTTCTCCACCAGCTGGTCTTCAAGGCTAAATGTTATATGGGAAATGTGAGGGATCACACTGTGCTCTGAGTCCCTGAAGAGGACAAAGTCTTCACAATCACCAGTGCCTGATCTGCAGGAGACCAACCAGCAGTGTGGCTGGAAGGCAGCAGAAAACAGCTCTTCTCTTACTAGTGGCTGCAATAGAGTGTTTTGTGTCTCCTCACCTGCTAGGTTTGAGGTCAAGGTTATGGTGGCAGTAGTCATCTCAACCTCCTTAGAACCCCACTCCCATAGTCATTGGTTCTGCAGGATCTGATGGGCTTCCCCTCCTGAGCACTTGAACAATGACAGTGAATGTGAATGCCTACCTGTCGAGGAGTTCCCAGTCCTCTCCTCCCCAGCGGTCCCGAAACTCTTTTGTGTTCATGCCTCCAATTTTGTCCAGGTCAGACTTGTATATGCCCAGGAGACCAAACCCATTCACTTCCCAGTAGCCTGAGGAGAGCACAAAAGAGGCACAGCTTTGTTGGGGTTTTGAAACATTGATGGCTCCAGCAGAGCTGCTGGAGTGAGACTCAAGCTACTTTTCGCACAACCTTGACACCAGGGAGTAAACTCAGCACCAAGGCAGAGCCAACCATGCCAACCAGCTTTGGGAATGAGAAAGGCTTGTGGACAGACAGCATGGCCTGTCCCATTAACTTTTTAGCAGAGCCTCTCACATCTCCTGTCTGGCAACACAATTCCTGGACTGTCCCAGCTTCCCAGGGTTGTCCCTGTGCCTAGATGGCGCAGGATGGCCACTTCTGTCTAATGGAAATCCTATACTGTACCACTTTTCTCCCTCCAGCTTGGCTTGGTTTCCCTCATCCATGGTCTACTAGTTCTCCTCAGGACAGGCTGTGCCCCCTCACAAAAGAGAGATATGGACAAACAGGAATAAATGACACTTTTTCCAAGGTCCTCAAATCCATAAAGAGCCCTAGGAGACAACCAGGAGAAACATCAGATATAGGGCTCTGCTAGCTTTTTGATCTCGAATTCCAGGTACCTGATGCTGTTAAACCCCATCCTATGTCTAACACACACTCACCCTGTGGACTTGGAAGTACCTCAAGCTCCAGGCCCTGACAGTGCCAGAGGAACAAATGTAGAGGAGGCAGGCACTTCCTTCTTTCCCCGTTTCCCAAAATCTGAGCCCTCTTACCATCGGGCCACTGTGGGGACATCCCGCAGTGCAGCCTCATGACCATGGGTGCAAAGGCCATCTTGCCTTCCACGCAGTGCTTCCTGATTGAATCAATGACTCCAGCTGGGAAGTGGATGTGGAGGTCACACAGGAAGACAATGCTGTGCGGGTCCTGGAACCAAAGGTAGCGGTTGGGGAAAAAAATAGGCTGACTTTCAGTAAATATTTATTGAGGGGCAGGAAGACAGAAATATGGGAGTCAAAATCTCATTACTGCATCAGAAACTGAGATCCCAAGGGCTGGAAAAATGTCCATTGGCTGATCAGTGTTGAGTGTGAAATACCATGACTGTGACCTGGCAGAGCCAGGATCACAAAGCTGCTACTGCTGACCTCCCTCCTGACTGACAGTCCCAGCAGATGGACCAAGAATCAAACAGAGCACAGACTCCTCAGAATAAAGAGACTCTTACTCTGGAAGGACGGGAAGAACATTACATTTGAACTGGTCTGCTAGGCTATTCCCTTCCCTAAAAACCAGCGTGTTCAGTACCAAAGGCAGTGGCAACACCAGACACATAGTACAAACTCCCCTGCCCACCCAAGGCCCCCCAGACTCACCGTTATGAGGTCTATCCCCGCCTGCAGTCCAGCAGAACGCTCAAAATTCCCTGTCAGCTTCAGGTACCGATAGCTGGGGGTCAGAGGGGAAAGGGAATTTCAGTGGCACAGGAGGCACGGCACGCAGCACCACACAGCACTGGGCCATGGAGCTGCCCTTGCCCCGTGCACTCCCTGAAGCAGAGGAAACCTTTGCTGGGGGACTGCACAAGCCCAGCAGTGCTCCCTGTCCCAGTCTGCCCAGAGAGTCTTGCCCCTGAACAGAGCCTAGCAAAACTCTTCTCAGCTCTAGCCCAGCTCTGTCCTAGGACTAGACCTGGAAACCCCTGGCATGTAATGGAAATGACCAGCCAAAGCTGATTCAGATCAGAGCAGGATCATTCCAGCATACAGAAGTCTCCACGCTCTCTGTCCCACTTCTCAGAGCTTTCTTGTCTTTTCTGTCCTCACCTGCCCCATCACTGGGAGACTTGCTTTCTGTTTTCTCTTGCAATTTTGAAAAAAGAGACAAATTCAATAAATTTAGCTGGAAGACTACACTAGGTATTACATTACACTTTTCTAACAGTGTTCCACGCATATATATGTATGCACATCATAACAAAAACATACTGTGTAGGTGCAAGGTCTGGATGGATGGTGTCTGTGGTGCTCTAGCTGCAGCAGGCTGTGGCTGGTGAACACACAGAGACTGCCAAATGTGCTATTTGCAGGCTTATGTGTGTGAGTGGCTTTTTG